AATTTGTCATTACAGTACAACCCAATTGCATGATTAGTGGCAAGTTAAACAGTGATGTATTTTGTACAGAAACCTAACAAACACAATAGTCATTTTGGCTGCGTAAAATATATGCAGGAGGGGTATCAGGATAGCGCTCATGCATGTCTGATTCGTACCTACTAGTAAGTACTTAGAGAAATAAGTACTTTGTCAGTGTGTATATATACGAGTAAAAAAGTGCAAAAGGAGGAGCCTGCTTTCTCCCCACAAAAGAGAGTTCTTAAATTTACATTTTTGCAAGCTAGAGAAAAATGGTTACACACTTCAAAAGAATGAAGTGCAACGGTGCAGGTGCCTGCTGTGTTCCCCCTCTTGTCTTACAGTTATTTTAATTCAGCAGTTTTCCTCAGACCAGAAAGCAGAAGTCCCTGATGTTGGGTACTTTCTAAACCCAGCCTCCTGCTTGCAGGCTGGTGTCATGGCAGGGGAGTCTTCAGGCCTGTGGAAAGCAGCAGGATGACCGAGGGGGCCTGCACTTCACGTGGGATTTTGGAGTGCTAGCAGTCATCAGAATTGCCAGAGTTTTAGGAATCCCTAGCCACAGAGGGATTCATCCAGATGCCAATTTGGCATAGGAAATTGTTTTGCAGTTGGAGGGATCAGCTTCAAATGGGTGTGAGCGTTTTGATGTGCCAGGCAGTTTGCTGGAGCAGGACCTGGCTGCCACAATTTGGCCTCATTCATGTGTTTCCTTTCTTCCCAGGTTTCTCCTTGCTAGGGTATCAGAGGGACGGACCCAGGCTGCCGGGGAGAGGCCGGAGGCTAGCGCCTGCCTGCTGTTGGAACTAGTTGTTAGGTGGTGCCTGGGTGTTAAGTCGTTATGGAGAGTGGAAGACGACTTGAGCCGGCAACAGTTAACACTAGCAATTTAACAGAAACTAAAAAGATGCCGTATTGTTTCCTTGACAACTAGGATCTACCACAGACTCTTGGCAGAGCTGGCAAAGCTTGCATTTGTGTCTCATCCCTTCAATATGGAGCAAACTTCTGGCGGTCAGATTTCTTAACCCCGCTCGTCGAAGGAATTTTGGCAGTGTAAGCGGACAAACTCCCCGTGGCCCCCGCGGCGGCCGCGGCATTTAGTGCCAGGAGTGGGACAGTTTTCATGCCAAGCAGACTGGAGACAGGAACGGCATAGTGGGTGGTTGGCAGAGTTGGTAGGGGAGGGGGGGTACTGACGGTAACGGCGGAGGCGGCCGCCAGCACGGCCATGGAGGTGGGGGTGGAGGTAGGGGTGGCAGACTGAGAGAGGTTCATGTTGAGGTCAACAGGGGTCGTGACGGAAGCGGTCTGGGTGCTGACTTTAGCCATCTCTAAGCTGCAAACGAAGAGAGGAAGAGGAACAAACAGGTTGGGAGGGTCCAGCCAGGGTCGGGGGGGGGGCCAGGAGGAGGAGGAGGAGGAGGAAGGGATGGAGGGACAGCAACCACGTAAGGGCAGGATTAGATCGGTGGGCGAGGGGAGACAGACGAGTGGGAGGGAGAGGAGGGAGAGAGAGAAAAAAAGGGAAAATGAGGGTCAAAGGAGGAACATGTTATGTGTTAAAGAAGAGAAATAACAAAAGGGTTTTTCATGATTCGGTGGTGAAAACATTACTGAGACTCTAAAGTTCTTTCAATAAACAAAAAGGGGGGGGGGGTTGCTAGTTCGTTTTACAGATGAGAAAAGAAATTAAGGAATGCGGGGAAATGGCAAAAAGATGGAAAAAACAAAACTTAAAATAACTATGGAGTTTACTCCCCAGCACTGATAGGGTGAATTTTGCTTTTTGCAATTACTGTGTTTTTGACAGGGGGACACGGGGGCGGTTGGCAATTTGTCCAATTTGTCAATTTTGGGACATAAATAGAACCCTTTGTCATTTTGTTAGGATGAGAGGAGACTGAGCAATGATTTGCTGCTTTCATCTAAGGCATGAGGTTTTGGTTGCTTTTTAGAGAATCAAAGGTCAATGTGCATTTTTCATATAAAGCAAACCAGATTAGCCAGTGTGTTCACTTGGGTTTGTACATTTCCCAGACTGTTTTTTTCTTTAGATCACAACAAAATATTGATGCAATCTAATCAGAAGGAAATGAGTAACAAGAAAGGCTGGAAAACACCCCGGCTTCCACAGCAGTGGAATCCTTTCTGAGCTTGTGGCAGCGGTTACAGTGAACATAAAAGAGCTTACCAGCTGACAGACAAGGTACTAGTACATGGATACAACATACACATCATCAGACAGACCCCGCGAGCACAAGCAACTTCAGATTGACCCGACCTCTGAGCCCAAGGCAGGGATGGGCTCTTTGGAGGATGTAGGTACCAAACGACCTTCATTTTAGTCTAACATCACCCACTGGCAGGTGAGATCAGTTTGGCTCACATACTTGGGCTTTTCTGTACATTTTTAGACATTAAATACAGCAATTCCAAGGACGCGTTGTTTTTTTCATATGACAGCATATCTACATAGACAAACCCTCCCTCTGCTGTTTGTTGCAGCTTGTGCACAAGCTTTCGGGTCAGCAAACAACCTAAACACTCATTTCAGGATGCATTTTGCATGTGACTGGCTGGGAGGTATGGCAGCCTAGCACATAACTAGGACTATCCCAAGTCTGGGGTATATTTTCAGTAGTTACTAACTTGTTGGTCTCCTGGGCTTTCTCCTGAGGAGAGCTGAGAGGCTGCAGCAGCTTCTCCCAGAGTGGAGTGCCAGGGAGCTGCTGGCTGGCTGTACAGGGGACCTGGGTGAAGAACCTGCTTCTTCTGTATCAAATCCCACCAGGCCCAGGGAGGCTCCCCAGCATGGGGTTTTGTGCTAGTCCCAGTTGGCACTGTGGGCTGGGGGTGCAGGCTTTGAGAGCCCCTATGGCCAGGCTGCTGGTTGGGAAGGGAGCATAGTCACCCTGTGTGGGGCTTGGAGGGGCCTTGCTTTTCTGTATCTTAGACTTACTGCAGTTTTGAGAGTAACAACCCCTGGTCTATTCATGGCCTGAGTAAGGCAACGACCATAGGAGGTGCCCTTTCTGCAAGGGCAAAGATCAGCCAGCACTATACAGGGTGGGGGGATGCTGGACTAGAGCTTTCCAAAGCACTGCTGCTAAGTCTAAAGGATACCTGAAGTAGGTCTGAGCTGGGGAGAGGCACATGGTGGAGAGAGGGAAATGCGTAAGCACCAACTCCTCTCTTCCCCACAAAAGAAAGAGGGTTCTTGGAGTGCCATCTCCTTGGCAGCCTTTTCTGGGATGTTGGAAGGTGCACATCTCTGAGGGACTGGGAAGGGATAAGGGCAAGGGTGTGAAATGCAGACCCGTTCGTGAGAGGTAAAGCTTTGGGCTTTCCTACCAGGTGTGTTTATCTGTCTCTGTGGGTGAGCAGCTCAGAATTTTTCTAACTCTCAAGGTAGAGTTGTCCTCTGCAGAGAGAAGAGCATTCTTGTGCTGTTAGCCAGGCTACTTGCAATCTACTTGCGCAGTGGGATTTACATCAAGAACACTGAATCAGTGAATCCAACCCCAGTGTATGTCCATAACTTAGGGTGTAGGAGTTGAGTTACATAGTGACACCTCAGTACATTTTGAAAAGCTCAGTTTATACAGTTGGATGTTTTCATACTTCTAACTTGCTATTACTCTGGGAGGGAGGTGTATAAAAAGATAATGCAGGACTCAGTGCTGCAGTGACTCCGAATTTGCGTGCCTTGCATTTAACAAAAAGTCCTTACTTATACAGGCGGTACTTGAGCCTGAGCTGTTTCCTGAACCAGCAGGGAGAATAGATCCCACAGGATAAATGCTGGTGGTGGCAGCAGCCACTCAAACTCTCTGTCTCTGGTGTATTTGCACAAGTAAGATTAAAGTAATGTGCCCAGCTTCACATTTGTTACTGCTGGTAACGCATAAGGTGAAAGTACATCAGGTCAGCTGTTCTGTGATAGGGGCAGTTCCTCAAACCAACTGTAGATACAGCAAAACTGAATGTGAAGGTGGATGAGTTGGCCTTCATACAATATTTCATGGTGCCAATTTTACCCTGTCCCTTTGAAGCCCTGTACTTTATGAACATATGCACATCCTGCATTACCCAAACCTGGTGAAAGGAATAAAGCTTGAGTGTGGCTTTGACGGTCCTGTTAGCTCTGTGGATGAACCTCATCAACATGGTAGTAAATAAACATCTTCAGGAAACTGCTCTTCAACAAGGAGCAAGTGCTGCTGGCTACAATTCGTTTATAGTCCAAAGTCAAATATTACACAGGAAACCTTCTTAATAAAAGCTAGAAGATGGAATTGGATAATGAAAATCCAGTTACTACAGTGGAGAGCAGTTAAGAGACAGAAGATTTTACAGGAAAAAAAGACACTTCTACTGCAAACAAGCTAACACACAGTCTACTCATACAGAGGTCAGCGCTCAGGTAATAATACAGAATCAAAACAATACTTTAGAAAGATTTAAATCTCTGTCTTGATATTATATCAATGAATATATATATAATTTAGAGTATATTATGTACATATTCGACACCAGATTGCAATAAAAAATCTTGAAACAATTTGATAAATTACTCTATAGATGGCAACTTTGGTTGGAGGATAGTTTAAAGATACACACAGAATGTTTTAGGAATACAGTGGATAGATATTTTTTAATATCCTATGCTGCTGTGAGACATTGATCTATGCAGAAATACTCGCCCTGAAAACCAAATCCATGAGAATGACAGAACTTGTAGGGGAGATTAAAAAAACCCACCTTACCCTGAATACTTATATGGCTTTTATTTGTTATAATTCATGTTTTGACATACCAGACTATACCTCGGGCAGTCTAGGTACTGTCCTCAGCTCTTCCCCAACACTATGTCATGCCAGCATCTTTAAAAGAGGGCAGTACTTGTGGCAGGCTTAGGACTGACAAACACTAAAATTGGCCCCCAGCAGTGCTGCCTCTGAGAAACCTGCCCAAGCACCTAAACTCCAGCTAGAGCAGAGCTCCCTCTTGCCTGCATGTTTCTTGGTTCTTGCTCCAATGTGACTGTGAACTAGCACTGCTACTGTGGTAGCACCTAACTGGGCAGGAATTTCTCTTGTGAAAGGAGAAATCTGGAACAGTGTCACTTAAAATAAATAAAGCCACCTTAATGTCCTATGGTACCTTAGAGCTTAATTTATTATACATTACTTTAAGAGTCTTCATTTACAAATGAAGTCACTTCATCTAAATACAATTTCAACACATGGTACATAATAATATATGATAGTAACAAATGATTTCTAGCTAGAAGTTCAACAGGAAGAAAATACTTTGTTTCTGGTTTCACAGGGTATATAGATAGAGTATCCATGGTATATGACTGCTGAGAAGTTTTCTTCTTTGCAAAAGTATATTAAAAGACCTCATATATATATCCCATTCCATCGAAAGAATCATTAAACAGTAATAAACAGAAGTGTGAGAGTTCACAGGGTTTTCTAAAGTGAGTCAAACAGGTTTGTTCACTAGAGTTTCTGTCTCTGGTGAGCAGCTCAATGCAACTCCATTAATAAGTGCATTATATTATTTGCATGCTTTAGCTGTCTTGAAGATCTTAAATTGTTATCTTCTGAGGTCCAGATGCATGCCATATGGTGTTTGTGCAACTAAAAATGAAGGGGTCTATTCTCGTCTCGATGTGTGGGGAATCCCTGAACACCAAGAGAAGAACATATCCTTAAGGGTTAAAGGAGGGAACACATTTTTATTTGATTACAGGGCTTATGGAAGTGACTTATATTTGCTACAAAGAATATAAATCAAAAGAGCTGTAGGTTGTTTTAGGATTCTGGAAATGGCTTATCTTAGGCTTCACGACGCCACCCTCTGTATAGCTTTCCCTAGGAAACTACTTTCAAACTTAATTATAGAAAGTAGTATTTTTGTTTGCTGTAACACAGAACTTCACAAACATCCTTTACCTCCATTAAGACATTTACAGTGGCTCGCAGTTGTGCACAGAACTAGGCTGGAGAGGAGGCTGGACCATAGGAGGCTGTAGACCTGTTATGACTACAGCCCCCCATATAAATCATATACTTTCTATTACCTTAAGAGCAAACATAGTCAAACATAAAGCTTGATTCATATCACAGTATTTTGGGGGTAAAAAATGAAAAAAAAAAAAAGGCAATAAAAACCAGATACTCTCCTGCCCACAACATGTTGCCTCGGTCTAACATTTACAAGTACCTCTATGAGACAGCACTATATTATGCATTGCACGTTCTCATAATAATTGCAAATAAAGGTGGTATCAATTTCAATAGTTTTCTAAATAATCATATCAAACTGATAGAGACTTAAGCCATCTCAATGGCTTAGCTAAACAGTCAGTGCTTTCATTCATTCTGGCATCAAGAAGTAAAGCAGCAGAGTCTCACCCCATCTCAATAGGGAATCCTTTCTACAAATTTGTGATGCTGTCTCTGAAAAAATAAATTCCATTCCTCTTTAGCAACCAAATGTCAGTGCGATATCAACGCTGAGTGGCAATTTCCAGCAAGAAAATTAAATCTGTGTTGCAATCTGTTTCACTATATTTGCCACTTAGGACAGTAAAATGGATCTGTGAGAAGTCTTTTCTTCTAAGGAATCTGTGATTGTAATTTCGTTTCATTTATCCACCTGTATTTTAGGTAGATGCTAGTATGAATATTCAGATTTTTCAGCTTTTGTCATTCAGTATGTACTCGGAATTGCACCAGATTAAGCTCCTTTCCAAATAAACCAACAGCAAACAGTTTCTAATGATACAGGCTTTACAAATCATTAGGAATTGAGTAATACTATGCAAAGTGGACACTGCAAAGCAACTTTCTAGATCTATCCAGGACAGACATTTGCTGGAGAGCAGACAGAGCAATCTCGCAGAAGCATCATCACTTACAAAGCAAACTTACCTTGCATTAATGAGGTACTGTGCTAAGCTGATGTTTGCAGGGGATCCTGTGATTGTAACTTGTCGTTCTGCGGAGCCTTCTGTGGCATTAGCAATCTTGATCTGCGCTCCTGACATCTGCCTGATTTCATTTATCTTACTGCCTTGTCTGCCAATAATGCAGCCTATTAACTGGAGCGGGACAAAGACTGAGATTAGTGCCACAGACACAAGCAAAAACCACTAAACTGCAATTTGTAGTATTGCTAACAACATGGTTATGAAAAATTCAGTATCAAAACAGAAGATTTTTGCTGTGCTGTTTGGAAGGAATAACTAACACAGTCTATTGGTTCTATGGTCATATGTCCTTACATCAAGTTTCAGTGCTACATGGTTATCAACTCAATACTGGGCTATTTTGCTATGATGTTCCATGGCAGACAATGACAGCGTGCCCATGGTGCTGACAAATACAAAATACAACCCAGTCTGACTTGCCAGTGGCAGCAGCAAGCCAAGAGCTGCAGCTTGAAGTAGGCTGAGCATCAAAAGCTGCCACCATGCAGCTCTGCACCCTCCCGACACACTGCTAGTCCTGGACAGATGTCCCTGGGCACACATGGTCCTCTCTTGGCCAGGTACTACTCTATTAATATCAGTGGGATTTACAGCTCTGCAATTGCGGGTAGAAGCAGCCACAGGAAGAGACAGAAATTTTTCTGTGTTCCTTTAGAGAAACTTACCAAAATGCCTATTTTGTGAATAAAACTGAGCCTGAGCTCTGTGTGTGTGTCCCTAGATCCCTCAATTATTTTAGTAAAATGCCTTTGGTGTTATCTTCAAATAGCAGTGTTTTAGATGCTTTTTGGCAGAGTCAAAGGTTTTTGGAAGCTGTGTGCATGACCTCGAGGCAGGGTTTAGCAGCACACATAACTTCAGCTTGGGTAAGGGAATGTGACTGATAGCTGTGGCAGGGCGTTGCTACCTCCAGCACAGGCAACAAGAGCAAGTGGGCACCAAGCCATAAGCTGAGGCTCAGTTGTTTTAACTTATGTAAGGGTGAAGAGGGTGATTTGTGTTAAGGAAGGGTGGGTGCTGAGAAGGTCAGCAATGGCCAGAATGGGCAGAAAATGGGAACCTTGCTCTACAGGTCTGTTGACATTGGGATGAGATTGCCAGTTTGGCAGAAGGATGTGACAAGATGCAAAGGCTGCCTTCCCCTCCCACTCTTCCCGCTGCTTCAGGCCCTGACATACTGACCTTTCTGGTACTGTAGTACTTGGAGTATCTTGCCAGAAACACATTCACATTGTCCAAATATCACGAGAAGAACCCCTTTCCCCCAGTGTAATTCTTTCTTCATGCTCAAGGACAAGCAGAAAGCCAAAACGGGTACTCCGGTAGCCGAAACAGAGACCAAGCACAAGAGGAGCACCCATGAGGGAGGAAAACGGGGTTCCAGGAAACACAAAGGATTTCCCACTGTTCAAACAGGAGGGCCTCGCTGATCTCCCTGTCCTTATCCCAAGGACCTGTCTTAATGTGTGACTGCACACATCAGTGCAGAGGAGTTATGTGAGCTTCACCAGCAAGCCCCTAGCCTGTCCCTGTGTGTACATGAATGTGCCTGCATACGCTACGTGTCAGCGGCACAAGGAGCTTTGTGCATCTGCTTCCTACACCTCACTGGCATGCACAGTCCATAGGTAGCGAGGGTGAAGCAGGAGAGCAGAGCGCTCAAAGTCCACGTGGAGAAGGCACTTGTCAGGTCACTCAGGAGGCTGCCACTTGTATGTGCTGGGGGTCTTCCAATGAGGCTTGTAACCCACATGGGGCAGCACAAAGAATCTGCAATGTCCTCACTGACTCTGAGTTAAGCAGCAAGGATTCAGCCCAGACCAGTCAAGGATATTGGTGATGCAAGCTTCTGGGAGAGAGGTTTGGTAACCTTCAGTCTGAAGCTCAAAGTTATCCTCTGCTGCCGGAACAATGGGATGCTTCAACATGCTCTGCAAGCTGTGACACAGCTCATGCAGAATAAACTTCCTCCTTTGCAATGCAGGAAGGACAGTAGTGCTGGGGTGCCTGGGCCCTCTCTGGGGTGCCTTTCCCATTGTGAATTACACTGAAATGTGTGTAGTATCTGACTGTTAAAGGACTGGAACTATGTTTTCATCTACAAAGTTTTACCCGATCAGGCCATGGACATTTGATTTTACATAAAAACACCTGTCCCGCCTTGTGCTGAGATGAAGCTATGTTAAGTTGCATCCAAACACGTATCTCTTCAAGACTGCCCTTTCTAATGCCACCAGCTGCCCCCCGTTCCTGACATTGTTCTATATCTGGCCATTTCACATGATTCGGCATTATTTTTGATGCTCACCTGCTTGCTCAACATAAGTGAGCCTCACTCTCACATGCAGAGTGAATCAAGAGGAAAACAAGCGATAAAGCTGCCCCATGTAAGACAGGAGCCAAACCTACTATGGACTATACCAAGCCTACTATGCACTGTAGTATAATACATATGCTATAAGTATATATGTACACTATATATAATATGCACATACATACAAACACACGAACAGAATACGTGTATGTATATGCATATATATTTTAACACTCTGACTATGGCAGTAGCACATGCTTACAAAAAAAAGATGGAAGCAATGTGAGGTATAAAACTAAGTTTCCACTGGTATCCCAAATTCCCACCTAAACCTTACAGACTACCTGAGCAACAGCTTGTACCTCTGCCTTTATGCTCTAGTAGAAGGCATCCCTGCCTATGGCAGGGGGTTGGAACTGGATGATCTTTAAGGTCCCTTCCAACTGAAACCATTCTACTATCCTATAAAGGTCTACTGTGATCTGTCCCACCTCAAACTCTTGCTGCTGGTAGTCTCTCCCAATATGCTATCTCTGGTTCAGGTCCCTCTCTTCAATTTTTCTTTCTTCATCATAATACAAATGCTAAATATATGTGTATTTTCCACATAATGCTAAAGTCACTAACAGAGCCTAATAGTAACAGCTTTCTTTTAGGTATTTTCTCCTGGCTTGATCCTCTCTGCATTATGTCTGTGCTGCACTGGGAGCAACCAGAGTTTTAGGCTTTATTATCCAAGTCCAGTGGTGCAGAGTACTGCTTGTCACAGGAAGTGGCACGGAGCTCACTTTCATTTTAACTACTCGTAAAATAATCAGATTCCTTCCTTATAATGAATGTACTGTTGGTAAAAAGGGTCAAGGAATTAGTCTGTGCAGCTTGGTATCTGCTGTCAGGAGCAGAGAGGTTGACCATACTTGTATATAGGTACATGTGGGTCCCCTTGGCTCCCCGCTGCCAACTCAGCACAAGTCCATTGGCTTTGGCAAAGCCTTTTCATTAGTTGAGTAAGCAGATGCTCGACATGAAGAAGAATCTTCAATTGCTCTTCATAAAGACATAGGCTTTCTCAGTTCCAGGTAAGGGAAGAAACGCTGGGTATGATTACAGCTCTTTACAAGACTTACTGTGGTGCCTGCAAAGAGATGTTTCAATACTGTGCCTCTTAAAACCAGTAACAACAATAATAAACTTCACTTTCCTTGCCAGGATAATGCAAAATTTGGACTACAATAATTTCACAGGCTTTGCAAGAATGCAGATAGAAAACTGGGAAAACATGCTCAGAAATGAGCCTTTTTATTACCTGCTTTGTAACCCAAATGACTCTGCAGATTTGTATGTCCCATCCTGCTCCCTCAAGTGAGAGGTGGTTCTGGGGGGTAATTACTTTTAATGCTAAGTAGTGTCTTGTCACACAAGTGGAATCACTTTGCTTCTGATGGATATTAAGTCTACTGATTCTTGAACTCATCTGAAAAGGTCTGCTTAATGAATCAAATGCCATTTTCTTAGATTAAGGGGGGACAAAAATGAGGCCATGTGCAAACATATAAAATGGTATTTTTTTTAATAACATATCCCCTTAAACATTCTTCATTGACAGAATGTGGTTAAGTCTGTATTTTTGCTCTGTGCGTTATTTCTCTGTTACATGGGAGGCTCTCAGTAGTAAGGTAAATTTGTTGAGGTTGAATCCACAGGTCCCTTGCCTTCGGTAGAAGTGCTTTGACTTAAACTACTGCAGGGCCTCTGCCAGCACGTCTTGTGTGGATTATTAAGGCTTTGCCTAACCTTACCCCCTCTCAAATGGCTGGGAAGTTTTTGAGCTGGGGTGGACTTAGCCAGCAGCTTAGTTTTACAAAAGCAGGGCATTTGTTCTCAGGACTTCTCTGGAAGAGGGCTGCAGGGAGGTTGAGGTGCACTTCTTCTGCATGGTCTATGTGGTGCGTGGCCACGGATAGGGTCAGATGCTGCCCTTATGTTCTCCTTAAGGGCTGATTCTCCCCACTGCAGGCTATGGATCTGGGCTCTGCAAAGATGGGAGCTCATTCCCCTCAAGTGACAGCTGGTGGAAGAGGCAGTGATACACAGATCTCCCGGATTATCTGGTGGAGCTGATGCTAGATTTCACTGTGGGCTGTTCCAAGAGCACTCTGCACATGTGGGTCCCCCTCTGTTATTTACAGGGAAGTACTCCTGGCTCCCTGGGGAAATAAAGGCAGTTCTTCAGTATGCCATGTCCAACTCGGATGGATTGTCATTTCTGCTTCTTTGGAGTACTAAACAGATTTATAGCTTTCTTAAAATGCTCTCGGTGCTTTCTGAGGGGGAAGCCGTTTCCCTGTCACTCACCTCTGCCTGTCTCTCCCACACATATGCAAAATAAGGATAATTTTTAATGGAACAGACTTTTTTCATTATTTATTTGTTCATTTATTCTCAGTGGGCATTTGGGGAACTGGATCATGAAGTCTTAAGATATCTGCCATCTGTGCTCAATCAGCTACACTCAGGGACACCATCCTTCCTGCTCCCTTAAGGACCCCGCCAACTGTTAATGTTATTTTATTCTGGGATTTATGTGAAACACACATTGTGTAACCTAGGCAGCAGCGGAAGGCCAGACAAGCTCTCAGCAAGGAAAGAAAGGCAACTAAATGCCCCATAACAGGTTTTGACAAGGAAAAAGAAATACCAGATAAAGATCAAAGTGACTTCTGAGAGGGACCTGGAGAAAACATCCTCTCTGTTATCTTTTTAGAGATACCCAAAAGTTATGAGAAAAGCCAGAAAGGCAAATCTTCTGAACCCAGTATTTGGAAAGGAAGCCTCAGCTTTTAGCATGTGGAAAATAACTTTCTAAAAAACGCATCTTTTGTTCTTCAGCATCTCTTTGTTATTGAGCAATAGGTTACTTGCAGTTATCAGCACACTGTATGAAGACAGCAAGATGATGTTGTTACAGGAATTACTAATAACAGAACAAAAAAAAATCTGTCACTGCCTTTAATGACAGAAAGAGTAAGGAAAACTTTACTGCGAAGCTATGCAAATTACACATGGCCATTAATATCTCCTTCCTGTAGAGTAGGCTAAAGTCTGAGCTCCTTAGTCTCTTTATATCTTCTTTTGCTCCATCAGATTCTTCCTGAGGCTTTGGCTTTACATGTTTATCATTAGCTTGGTTTAAAAAAATAAGTATAGCACATGTGTATATTCCTAACATCTCTGACAGCTGCAGAGCATGTAGATACTTGCTAGTCTCATGCTCTTCTTTGTGCTGGACTTTTGTACACATAAGCACATATGATAAGAAAACCAGGGGACTTAATGCAGCAGTGGGGATCTCTGGAGCTGGGGCAGCCATAGGGCTGTACCACAGCCCCATGTTAGGGCCTGCAGCTTCCTTTACTTTCAACGAGATAAATAATCACCATACCACACTGCCTGTATGTGTATCAAAACCGGGACTAGAAGCTTATCAGGAAAGCAAAGTCAAACTACCCATGCAGGCTTTGCTGCACAAGTGCTGTTGCCTCTCCCATCCTGACCTCCCTCTATGCACAGCATCTATGCAGAGCACACACGAAACACAGGTGCTGGCACCTTCTTACTCTGCTTCTTTGCCTCATGTCTCTCTGCTTCCCTCACCTCATCATTTTTGGCACTGCTGCAGCGGTGATGGGGCTGCAGGAACCCTGGTATGAACAGTTATGCTGTCAGACCCCAGGGATGGTACCTTCTTGCTGCAGCAGCCTAAAGATAGGCTGGGAGGGCACTGCTGACAGCCTGGAGCACAGGCAGAGTGGACACCTCAGGGAGACATGCAAGGAAACTGCAAAATTCCCAAGCAGCCTCTGATGCCCGGCAGGAGATGAGAGCCCTTTCTTCCCTCTAAGCCAGCACTGCAGCACTGGGTGCACACACGTGGGCAGCACTAAAGCCTTTTGGTCATGTAATACATGCCTTGACAACACAGAAACACCAGAACTCCCTTTTATCACCTGTAGAGCCCCTGCAGGCTGTTTCTAACCTGAACACCATTTTGGCCTTGGTTTTGCTCCTTTAGCAACAACTGCAAGACACACACTGCACAGCCAGAAAAAACCTTCTATTAGAAACAATGCATGGATGTGTGTTTGCTTTACAGATGCTGAGCCAGGGCATTTCATACCTCCTGGATGAGTAACTGATGGGGTTTTTAATTTTCTACTACACTACAAGGCCAGCTTCCTCTTTCTCTGCTATAAACCCTGAAAGAAGCGAAGTCAGAAGAGTGACCTTGGATTTATACTGGTGATGGCAAGAACAACATCTTCCTGAAAGTGAGATTAAAAAACTTGCACTGTAAGGATAAATAGGGTGCTCCCATAAAATTCTCAACATACAGTAAATTGGGTTGTAAAGCAGGTACTGATAAATCAGCAGGGCACCTTTTAAGTAACAGAAACCTTACGAAATCACAGCACTCACACCTTTGCTCTTTGCTATTCTGCGTCTTTTTCTTACTGTAAATCATTGCCACTGAGTTTAATAGTGCTTACACAACATTGTAAGCATCTCTTCAGTAATATAATTGTTATTTGTGATCCTGTTCATGCTTGAAAGCTTTTTTTACTGGAGGGGAAATCTTCCATTTTTCAATTGACCCATTTGTAATGGAAAAATGAGTCATGTTCCCCCCCCCCCGCAATGAAAGTGAATAAAACAGGGAGGTATTTTGAGTAGCTGTTTTAAGATTCAGCATCATATTTTGCTCATGGAGACTGGGTTTGCCGATCCCAGCCAGTCAGAGTTGCTGGAGCACGAATGTTTTCAGCCCCTGTTTTTCAAACAAACCCCTTATATTGCACATTTCTGTAAGTGAATAAGCCTTTTTTTCTCAGGAAAACTGCTGTCTCAGACAAGTGCAGGGTGCAGCAGAGACTGTCACAGCACAAGCTGCTGTGGTGCAGGCTCTGCACCCCTCGGCACTGAGGACCAACACACAGCACACGAGGCTGCACATTTCTCCACCGCCTTTAGCCCTTCTGCTAAGACCACCCATGTTAGTGCCACCTGAGAGATGGATTTTGATAACTCTTCTAAGACCACTGTAAGCAGGGGCAGCCACACTTTAACAAAGCCAGTGAAGCATCACCACAGACCTAAACCAGCAGCGCTGCATACCTGACATGACATGGGACAGTCACTTCTGCTGCCCTATCCAGCATTTCACTGATCCCTAATATCCCCTCCCCAACAGACTAAATGCTGTACAGTTTATTCTGGGGACCATAATAATCATATTAGATATAGCCAAAGATGAGAGGTTTCCCCTCCCAGTGGCAGAGGAGCGAGAGAAGAGAAAGCGATACTGACTATTGGTCCACTTACATCATTGGGAATAGTAAGTTCATGGGAACTGGTTGGAGTAGTGGCATCCAGTCCTATTCAGGGGACAGAGGGAAAATGTTACGCCAGTTTGCAAGAAGGGCAAGACACAACAAATGATATTTTAAAGGAGGAAACATACAGAAAGAAGGGGAGAAAAAAAAGAAAGGAGCAAAGAAAAACAGAACTGCTAGTGAAACAGAAAAGAAAGCAACAGATGCAAAACTCGGAGGGCTGCACTAATTTTAAATGAGTCCTATTTCAGTTAACCTTTAACCCACCA